TCCCCTCCACACGAGCGTCGCGTCTCCCCTCCACACGAGCGTCGCGTCTCCCCTCCACACGAGTGTCACCTGATGCTACAGACAGCTCCCCAGAGGAGCCCAAGGCCAGAGGGGCCAAAAGCGCTGTCAGGCCACGGCTTTCAGAGCCACGTCGCTCTCCGGGGCCCCTCCCTCCCTGATGGCCGTCTGCACCACGGTCCAGCTGCGGTTGCAGTCCTTGACACCTGCAGCTCCACACAAACTACCAGAAACACGGCAGCTAGGCCACGTAATAGGAGCGAGAAGTCAAATGTGGCACCTGAGCCATACATCAGAGGAACAGCGATGGCAGAACCACCGTAAGCTGTAGTGACTGACAAAACTAAACAGCATTCGAGGGGCGATGATAATGCAGCACGTCGTAGCCCCAAACTCTTCAAAGAGCCATTACAAGCTACCAGGAGAGAGCTTATAGGAGGGTGTTAATTACTCCTCTCCCATCAGCCATACACAGTCTGCATTCCACCACCGACCAAACGCCGCAAATTTACGGGACGGCGTGGTGTTTATCGGCGTGGGACCGTCCGTGGGATTCACAGGCCCACACGGGCAGTCGGCAGGGCAAGCAGGCAGCGCAGATGGATGGGCAGGGGCTGCGGTGGCACCGTGCCAGAGACAGAGAGAGAGAGAGAGAGTACACGCGCCGGGTGCTGAGACTCAGATGAAGAGCGCCCGCCCGCCGGACCTCCCGTTGGTCACAGTGGAGCCAGGACAGACGGATGACCAAGCAAAACTAACAGGGCGTGCTTCAACACATTACCCACAAGGCATCAGGAGAATGCAAAGGCGGTAAGAGCTAATGAGGACAGCACCCTACCACAGCACCCCAAATATCTCCAAAGGCTGTACATAAAGCAAGGAGGAACACGCTTAGAGCAACACCAATAACACCCCCCCCCCATTTTATGAATGAGACCCAGGACTGGATGCTGACAGGAGCAGGACAAAGGCTGGGAGGCACACGGCTCCCTGAAAGCTACCCTGGATCTTCACAGCCAATCCACAAACAAACAGCAGCCCTCCAGCGTTTGCCAAATCAACACACGCAGTGGGGGGGGGGATAAACGGACGCGGACGTTTGGAAAACAGCGCCGCCGAATGCGGCGGGAGCAACGAGACGTCCATCACTTACCAAGGACAAAAAGAGTGCATTAGCATAACTACCATCTGCCCCATCTCGCTCATCGGCAGAGCCAGCAGCCAGGCCTGACCTCCAGGGCGCCCCATAATTAACGCCCCAACCCCCCTAAAAAAAAGGATGGAGCCTAGCTTCAGCAGGTTTGACGGCTGTGTCAGGGAGCAGGGCGTGGGGTGTTGAGGATCCCACCTGCCATGCCCTCAGCACGCTGCCACCTGCTGCATCTTAGGGGGAGGGTCCCCACGGTGTGGGGGCTGGCCAGTCACTCTTGCCCCCCTTTACGGGCCGCTGCCACGGAGCCCCACTGATCCATAAGCAATCAGACCTCACTGCCAACCTCTTCCGCTCTCAATAAAAGCTCTTATTTGAAACCGTGCTTTTTAAGAAAGATACTTCTAATTGCCAAAAAGGTATCATTTTTTGCTGGAGGATTAAAACTCTCACGTCATTCCCATATACATTTCCAAGAGCCTCGTTTTGTCTACAGTTTCAAGTCTGATGTAGGCCACCTACTTAAAAAAAATGACTAAAGTATTACAAAAAGACACATGGTTAAATTAATGCATTTAGTTGACCTTCTTGGGAAATTGGACAAAGGTATTGCAAGAGGGGATATTTCGCCTTTTTTGCTTAGCCTCTGCTGGTCAGATCCTCTGTTAAACACGAACAAATCGCCACCGGCCACAGATAGTCTAATCCTCCAGCGAAATGACAGAATTACACAGTTACGCCTCAAACACTGCCTGACCTTTGCCGAGCGCTTAGGAGTTCAGAGCCCGTTAATGGATGCAGGGCACCGCGGCACAAAAGCATCCCGGAAAATTCCTCATGCAGAAGCAGCAAAAGCATCTAGAGATCCGGCACATCCAACGAATCTCACACCTCTCAACCCCAAGCATTACTAAGCGGAAGCACCTGACCGCCTGTCGGAGATGCAAGCAGCGTGCACCCGTTTGTGCAGAGGTCGGGGCTGTGGTGGCGGAGAATGCACCACAGGCGTCATCGACTTATCCAAAATAATAATAAAGAAGTATTCTGAATGCGGTCCTGAAGACGGAAACATGAACAATGTGTGAAAGCTGCCGTAGGTGCTCTAGAAGTCTAGCCATGCGTGCGACACAAAAGAAGATACAAAGAGGCAAATTAAAATAAATAAATAAAATCTTTCCCCAAAATATGCTACGGTAAATAACTAGCTCACTACAGCAGTAAAAAGGTAGAAAACTCAACTAGAACATTTAGCCAAAAAAAAGACAATGCTCTTTTAAAGAGCATCTTCTCGAAGTGGACTCATTGTCTAGGAGTGCCTGTTTGGTGCGAGGCCTCGTTGGTTCCTCCCTGTGTGGTTACACTGCAGTACGGCGCTGTTATGTCAATACCGGCCCCCTATTAACAAAGATCGAGCCTGCGTCTCCCGGCTCAGCCAACAACCATTGTTCTTCCATGTGGTGACGCCGTGATGCAACCACGATCATCAAGGGAAATACTGTTATAGCACTTTTTTTTTTTTTTACCTTCCACGATTCAAAATCAGACTTTAATTAAAATACAAAGCAAAGAAAAAAAATCCAGGGAGTGGTAGGCAGCTTCATCGAGGCCCACAGTTTCTTACAAAAAAACAATCACATCAGATGTACAGATTAATGACTGTTTTCGTCAAAGATTTCCCGCTATTCAACGCCCTGCCTGCTGCCTACAATGAGCATTAAAAAATGACACGATGCGAGAAGCATGAAAGCTGGCGGGGATGCGAGGCACGCCGTCCCGCACCGGCCAGCTAACTGGTTTACGGGGACAGAGAAAGCCCACAATATGGTGCAATCGACATCTCACTCCTTTACCGTGTCAGGGTGTTCATTCCGCAGACACTGTCAAGAAGACCCGCGATGTGGCGTCCGTCGGTTCATTCATTCATTCATTCATTCATTCCCATTCAAAACAGCCATAAGCAGGCGCGCCTTGAAATCGGCGGCTACCTCCCGGCGGTTATCCAGGCCAGTGCTGTTTCTCTCTTTCGGCCATCTCGCAGGGTTAGAGGGCTAAGGATGCTATAGATGCTGGACATCGCAACTCTGTGTACTGTCTGAGAACGAGTCCGACAAATCTGGAGAAGCGGCTCTGCCCATGCAGGTATCGCGGCCGCCAGCTTCAGTAACCCGCGCCGCGGCTTAGCAGGTACCCGGCCGTGACACACAGATACAGAAACATCAAAACATTAGGTTAACGATCTACCTGCCGGGTTTTTCTTTCTTTTGCAATCGATGCCACATGGCAGTATTACCTTCGTCTCTCGGATGTCCTGCTTTCCTCCTTCTGGGTACCACTGCACACGAACGTAGCCCCGTCCCAGGGGCCGAGCCCTGCTGTCCGCCGCCCCACTCTCGGTGTCGGAGCTACCGGCGATGCCGCCGCCTCCACCGCCGCCCCCGCCGCCACCTCCGCCATCACCGTCGATGTCCGAGTCGGAGTCGAAATCCTCTTCGCCGTGTATCATTCTGACAAGGCCGAACCGGACCGAACCGCGATAGCGACCGGACACCAGGTCGTGGGAGAAGAGCAGTCGCTGGGAACCGCCCGCAGAGGGAGAAAGCGCGATGGAAGGAGGCTCCGAGCCCGGACTGACTGCGGGAGAAAGGGCCGGAGTCGGAGACGAGGATGGTGCATCTGTCGCTGCCGTCGCTCCCGATGCTGGGGGTTCCGCCATCGCTGCTGTTGTCAGGGAATGCTGAGAAAGAGCGAGGGGGGATGGAGGGAGGGACGAAAAAAATAGAAAGAGAAACCTGTAACCAGGGAGCCGCACGTGTTTACGTCGACACGTCAGCGCTGCGTATCCTGGCGGCGGTGCGACGGCGTGCCCGCGGTATGGCTCGGCTTAGTTCGGCTCGACTCGACTAGACTCGGTGTGATCCCGCCGGGGCTCGCGTTTACTTCGCCTTCCAGCTGAACGCTCGTAAACCGCGCGAGTCGGAGTCAGCAGGGTATGCTGAGGCCGGAGGTATCTCGTAACATCTAGAAAGATTGAATTTTTGTATATTTTTGCAATATATACATAAACGTTGATCATGCATCATGTTGTTAACTATATCATTTACATGGTATACGCTCAGAAATAACAGGAGAAATGTTAACTAATCACATACATTTCGTGTCTTTTAATAACAGCATTGGCCATTTCCACGTGCTGCAGTCACTCTAACCCACCTCCAAGTCAGTTTACTTTTCGAATGAACTAATGGCTTCCGATCACTGTTATCTTAGTGCATAATTTATTTGCATCGACTTCAACTGTATTACAATGGTGAGAATCTAAACTATGCAGTTTACTTTGTTACTACATACGCGCTCCATCATTAAAAGGTGCTTTGAGGATTTTCGCCACATGGTGTCAGTAACCGAGTGCAGTGTCAGGAGGTCCATAGCTATGCAAAACCGATAAGGTCAGTGAAATTAAATAGCTGTAGTACAGTTGTAACACGTTTATACACCTCAGATATCCGATGTAACGTGTCTTTTCTGTGCTTGAATTACAGGCAGTTTTGTTAACAAATAGAATAGAAATAGAATCACTCTCTCCTTCCATATTTAGGTTCTTTTTGTTTGAATGAGTGATTGGCAGTTCCTTGATTTACAATAATTTGAGATAATTTAACTGCAATAAATAAGGCACACTGATAGATATGATTCATCATGAAATTAATTTATCATTTTTATTTATATTTTTATATATGTATTTTATTAATCCCACCCAGGCCTAACAATCATACTACATTTGACATTGATGTTTTTTTGTGTGCTATACTGCACAATGTACCTTGTACAGATAAGAGTGTAACCTGGGTGAACACCAACTTTCCAGAGAGACTGTGTCCATGTGATTCACTGACAAAGGTACAGCTATTTTAAAATGTATGAAGTGGTCTGTCTTGGCTGTAACATAAAATAAAGTTCTGATCAATATGATGATCTCATGCTATATATATATTGCTTAGTAACTTTATTATTGGTACATTCCTCTCCCCTGGTTTGACTTCCTGATGTGGTTCAACCTCAGTCTGTTTTGATTTGTCTCTGTAACATGAAACAACTGTTTACATTTTGTACACATGTGTTACACACTACGTACTACTACAACTTGAAATGTGTATTCTGCCTTATAAAAGCATACTAGTAGGACCCCTTTGATACTTTATACACAAAGTACTATACTCTCAGAAAAAAGGGTAAAAGAAATATATACATTTGTATGTCACTGGGGCTGTTCCCTCAAGAGTCTGCCAATTGTACCCTTAGCTGTAAGTGACTGTTCCTTATAAGGCACAGAAATGGACTCCATTGATGGTACATTAATGCTGTTTGTACCTTTGGGACCTTAAAAGGTACAATTATAAGTGTACAACCCCAATCACAAGCAAAGGTACATTTTTTTACCCTTTATCTGAAAGTGTATGTACATTTCATTTCATCATTAAGTATTTGCTCTACATATCCTCAACAGTACAAATGTGAAAAGTGGTCAGATTCACAGAGGACCTATAAAACAGTATAATATCACCTAATGTATGTATTTCATGATAGGAGTCATGTTATTTGCTACAAGTACAAGCAAATTAACTAGGAAACACAAAGGCATGTAGAAAACGGAAACAAAATGTCCTTCTTCAATGGTACAACTGCTTCGCACATGTGCATCACCCTTTTAAACTGTAATAATTCAATACTGCATTTGTCTTAGATGGAATAATTATAATATTCCACATTTGTTCATTAATTTATCAATTATTCATGAATAATTTCAGGTAAAATGTAAATGTATATATACAGTACAATGTTTTAAGCGAGTTTTGCTCCACACACAGTTCTGCTGTTCGTCCATTAAGTTATATGACCTATTTACAGTTCCAGTCATCGTCATAGACTGTCGCAGGTAATTCAAAATTAATTATATATACTATCCATCTAGGTTGAACAGACTACGCTCTTTTCCACTTACCGTATTTGGACATATATAACTTTTTTAGTTTTTAAATTACGCAGGAATATAATCCGCTCGTTATGGGCGGCGTTCCAACTAAATGCCAGATGTGTCAAGCACCTTGATGTAGGCTAATGACTAACGGTGCTTAAAGACAAATCGCAGGGGCCGAGACGCTATAAATACCCGCGACTTGCCGTCCTTCTTCTCACATGCCTGCGGCGCTTCGGCTCTACGCAGCGGCACTGATCGCATTTACAACTTTTCGCAGACCCTGAACAGGACCATCCCGACCCTCCAGACGTCAAGGAAGCGAACATTTCGGAAGTTCATTTGACAATATGTCGGTAGTGAGCGCCTTGCCTTTCCTGAAGCCCGTCTACATGAGACCCCCCATCTCGCCGGGTCGCCAGCGCCGCCACACTCTGCCTGCCAGCGAGTTCCGCTCCCTCAGTCCGGAGGATGCGATTAGCGTGTTTGAGATCGAAAGGGAGGGTAAGTTACCTATTTAATTCTCTATTCATGGCATATTTTATTCGCATACGCTAGTGGTCAAAATGGGGGAAACACCTAACATTTTTGGCGTTACGCTTTAAAAATTGCTACACGAATACTGGCGCTAATGTTTATTAACAATAATAAATAGAATTTCACAAATATGCAGTGGATGATTAAATAAATGACTGGAGCAACAGTTGCATAAAGTTCTGCAGTCTCTAAAAATTGTTTCCACAATTTTGGCCACTAGTTCTTAAATTATTAATATACAAGTATTTTCTGTTTCTAATTTATTTGAAGGTATATGCATGTATCAGGGTTGCCAATTTTTTGCCGCTTTTGATATAGCTCATTTTAGGCTTACAATAGAATAGTATAGATTTGCCGTAAGATTTCTTTTGTTAGCGTCTGAAAGCGTGAGTGTCACGCCAGATGCATGAGAGTTGGCGACCCTGCATGTACAACATATTGACTGAAAAGCATGTTCATAAATACATAGGCCTGTATGTCACGTGCCATAAGGCTTATTCCAATAAAACTTTTCTGTGCTGTTGTGTTACTTGGCGATTCGCGGTATCATGTACATGTTTAACAGCTATTAAACTTTTTTTCCCAGCAAGTTTCCATATAGTCACAAAAGTGGCCTATGAAATTGTCGCGTCTGGTTTGACACTTTTGTGATGCTGTCTGCGTGTTGATTGCACCTCCTTGCAGCTTTCATCTCCGTGTCCGGAGAGTGTCCTCTCCACCTGGACGAGGTCCGTCATTTCCTCAACCTGTGCCCGGAACTGTCCCTGGGCTGGTTTGAGGAGGGACGTCTAGTGGCTTTCATCATTGGATCACTATGGGACCAAGAGAAGCTAAAAATGGTAAACGTCACATGTGACGTATGTGCGCTGTCTGAAATAATGCTTCCAAACACTGTTATTTTGGCAGGGCTCTTTTAAAAAGTTTAAGTCCATCCACCTTCCAAAACCATTTATCTACTCTAGGTCTATGATATTAATCTGGAGTATAGTTAAGTGTTTTAAAGGTCAAAAGTATTTAAAGGTTTTAAAGCCTTTTGTGAAATTCAGAAGCAACATACAATTTTTAACTTTCATTTTGTTAATATATAGCATTTTATGGGATGTCCAAATTCAAATGACCCAGCTAATTCAGAGAATACTTTATATTTGTCAGTGATATTTATTAATTTATTATCGCCCTTGATTGCATACCTCCCCGTTTTAATGCTCACCACTGCTCTTCTACCTTTGCAGGATGCACTGACCTTTCATAAGCCCCACGGCACGACCGTCCACATCCACGTGCTGGCGGTGCACAGAACCTTCCGGCAGCAGGGCAAAGGCTCGATACTGATGTGGCGCTACCTGCAGTACCTGCGCTGTTTGCCGTTCGTGCGCCGAGCCATGCTGATGTGCGAGGACTTCCTGGTGCCTTTCTATGAGAAGTGCGGCTTCAAGGCACAAGGCCCATGCGAGATCACCGTGGGAATGCTGGCCTTCGTCGAGATGCAGTTCCCGGTCAGGGGCCACGCTTTCATGCGACGCAATAGTGGCTGCTAACGCTTGCGGCCGGAGTGCAACGCATACATTTCTCAGGGTAAAGCGATAGACCACCACAGCTGATGGGAAGGTCTGGTTTGCCGTGTTGCAAGGCGAGCCTCTTCTGTATCACAGAAGGTGGGCTAACAGAGCAGTGACTGCCTATCGTCGTGGGTCACCTAGAGCAGTTTCCAGCATTTTCCATCCTCAGATTGTAGTTTGTTTGTGTGACTCGGTCGCCCAGATGTACCCCAAAGCATTACATACAGCGTGGGAGGGGGCAGGTGCACAAATGCTACCACTATAGATAGTTAAATCCTACATTGTTACTTTTGCTCTTATCTAACTATTGTATTTCATTATTGCTTTGAGATTTTATATTTTGTATATTAATAAAAAAAGTACATCTTAGTTTGGTGTATTATGCACTTTAATAAAGTTTTTTCCAATTTGTTTAAAATGGTTCAAACAATTCATATTATAGTTAGTCATGCCTAGAAAATGTTTATGGAAATCGTGGTCCTTTGTATATTTAGCATACAAGTGACAGAGGATCAGAGAGCAGCATTGGACTGTTCCTGTAGGAACTGGGGTTAAGGGCCTTGGTTGCAGGCCTAGAGCTGGTTTCTCTTCTCCAGAAATGGGATTTGAACCAGCAAGCTTTTGATCACAGACAGAGTCCTAACCTAGAGAGCCAGACTGCCCCCACAAGCAGGCAGTGACACGCCGGGAACTGAAAACAGGCCTCCAGCATGGCTCATCGCATCCACAGGCATGGCTTTAACACCATTCCCCAAGTACAGCCCACTTTGGTAGTGGCCCAGTTTAAGTGTCACCATCAGCTGTCTGTCACTGCTCTTGCTGCGCAGCTTCTCCCTTAAGCTTGATTTAGGTGATTTACTACCCAGATCATACGGATGTCCAGGTGACGAGTGTGAGATTTGTTTAGGTGAGGAAGCAAAATGATCATTCCTGCGAACTGTAATGGATACATGTGAAAACAGACCTCAACTTTGTTAGCCCCAATTCAGACATAATTATACATTAAATATTCCCTTCCTTTGGTTCTGTTTTTGTACAATTCCAAGAGATGTTCCCTTTTCTGACCTCGATAAGGCAGCAGGAGGCTCAGCGGCAGAAACACATGGCGTCACGTTCTGGGAGCTCATAACTGCTCCCTGTACTTGAGTCCCTTAATCTCTATTAGTGACTTAACTGTAGTCTGTGCCTCAACGGGTTTACTTTCCCTGCAGGTCTGTTTGAGTCCTAACCTCTTTGTCGGGACATGAATGTATTTTGTTAAGCGTGACATATCAAAATAGAGTTCAGAAGTTAGGAAAGCAGGAAATTGAAACCAGCATCAGGACTTGTCTGTCTGGCAAAACCACTCTATCCATCCCAATCATCTTCAGTCGCATATCCTGCCTAAAGGCCACTAAACATTCTGTATTTCTGCGCTGTGCTTTAAATTGAACAGTTTCTTTCTAAGGCAAGCAAAGGAAGGAATCCTGAGTTAATTAGTAGAGCAGTTGTGTTGGAAGACATACAAAACATCCGTAGGTTATTTTTAAATGTTTATTAACTATGAAGTCTTGTTTTTATACATATATATAAAACTGAGAAAATATAAAATATAAAATTCAGTGTCTCAGTGGAGGAACAGGAGCTCTCTTTATACCTAAATAAATAACGCTGTATTACTTCCGTTTTATCCCCACCGGGACGGTTTAACTGCACTCTTGCATTGGGTACTTCAGCTGAGTCAATCAAGTGAGGAGGGTGTTTCTCAAATGGGGACAAACTACAGCAAAGCCCAGGGGAGTAACAAAGTAGGCTAAAAATTATACATACATATAGCATGTACCAAACTTCCTCGTGGTCTATGAGAAAATACACTGACCACACAGAACCTACCACTGGTCACCTTACTCCTGGTGGGACTTAATCTGTTCCCCAGTCACATGCACATCCAAATGCATGGCAGCAAGTACCAAATAACGTGTAGTATAGCAGGGATTTTAACATTGCGACTCCACAGTTTAGAAAAATTGGCTTACATTTAGTCCCTTCATCCGCTGGCTACCTCCGCTGCTTTCCTTAGCAGAGCAGGCAGCCGAACCCGAGACGAACAAGGCAAATGTCACAGGACTGCTCACCGACTCACACTTGGCTTACATGCTCCTCACACTGTGCATAAAATCTTCACAGTACAGATTCTGAAATCTTTTACTGATACCATACAGATGGAGTATCCTCTGCTTTCTGGAAGGTTTAAGGAGGACTGCTAGTTTTTAATTCAGCGCTTGAATCTCGATAGGAAAGGTAGTGGATATTTTTGTTTTTACCGTACGCTACCACTTCAGCTGTCTTAAAAAATGACTGGAGTCTAGTCAAGGCAGCACAGGATGCCAGCCCATTTCCAGACAGCCTAGAGATGGCAATTAGCTTGATTGCATGGCATTGGACTGCAAGAGGAAAGCCGACTCACACGGGGAGAACATGCAGACCCCAGGGTAACGGTGCTACCCCCCCCGGGCAAAAATCTATTGGAAAATCTGATAAAACA